CTAGCTTAGCCATCTCTGTGGGGCTTTTGCTCAGGCTATGAGGGAACTTGGAACGTGAAGGTGTTCCCACTGAGAGCCCCTCCTTGCCCCTCTTTTCTCAGAGCTGTGTGGTCCCACACCCTGGGTCACTTCTGCAGAGGAAGGAGATCCCCTTGTCTCCTTCCACTTCCTCTGGGGCGTCCAGCACCTCCACCTTCAGATGTATGGCTGCATGGGTCTCTCAGACGTCTTTTGTATTGTGTGAATGTGCTCTGTTAGTTTATGGATGTCTTTTTTGTTGTATCTAAGGGGAGCTCACTCCATCAAGATGCTGATGTCACTTCTCTTTCTTTTCCTTTTTAAGTAACCTGCCATTTCTAAGTTTCTTGGGTCCCTTGGCATCCTTCCTTTGATTTGGTACAGGTCATAGCGTGACAGAGTCTGCAGCAGAGAAACGTGGTCCCTTTAAGGACAGGTGACCTGGGATTAGAACTAAAAACTCAATTTTTCTAACCCTAGTTTGATATGTTGCCTTTGTCATATACTAAATTTTTCTCTTTGTCTTTGGGTCTATTTCTGGGCCTTCTATACTTTTAGATTGTTTTGACTGATGATTCATGTAGCAGTGCCCCATGCTTTTAATTATTCAGATTGTATAGTACTTTTTAATGTCTAGTAAAGACTATTCTCCCCTGCATTCCCCATTGCTCTTTTTTTGGGCTTTTCTGACTATTCTTGTATGTTTATTTTTCCTTTTGAAGGTAAGAGTCAGTTGTCTGGGTTCTAGAAATGAAACCTGTTGATGATTTGTGTTACAGTTGCATGAAATTTAACTTAGAGGGGCCAGCCCAGTGGCGCAGCGGTTAAGTTTGTGCATTCCACTTCAGTGCCCTGGGGTTCACTGGTCTGGATCCCTCATGCAGACCTAGCACCTCTCATCAAGCCATGCTGTGGCAGGCGTCCCACAGAAAGTAAAGGAAGACGGGCATGGATGTTAGCTCAGGGCCAGTCTTCCTCAGCAAAACGGGGAGGATTGGCGGCAGATGTTAGCTCAAGGCTAATCTTCCTCAAAAAAAAAAAATTTGATTAAAAAAATAATAAAAAATTTAACTTGGAGAAAATTGATAAATAGGTTTATTAATAAATAAACCTTTATGGTGGTGAGTCTGTCTAGGGACCTAGTATATCTTTTTACTTATTCAGGCCTTTCTTAGTGTTTTTTGGAAATGTTTCATTGTTTGTTTCATATAGAGTTTATGTGTTTTCTAATTTTATTCCTAGTTATTTTTCACTTTTTTGTTTCTCTTGTAAATGTGATCTTTCATTCTGTCATCTAATTGGTGGTTGGGTTTGTACATAGGAGAGCTATTATTGTCTCTATACTTATTCTTTCATCGCACTACCTTCCTGATTGGTCATAGTTGATCAGTTGGTTTCCTAGGTATAAAAAAGAGAAATTTATAAAAAGCCTTACCGGAGTATAGGGGCATGTTTCTCAGACAGGGATCTTTTGTTTATTTGCTCATGGGTTATTGTTCTTAGGTGAGAATAATGGAAAGCCTAAGGCACTGTAGAGGTCGGCCATATTTTATATTTTTTAAAAAAATGCTTTGCTCATGAAAGTAAAAACTTTTCTCATTTGTGAACTCAGATTAGGCAAAGAGACATATTCACAAAGTGTCACTCCCTTCCCCATTCCTGCTACCTTGCTTCCTATCCACTGTCTGTAAGTGATCAGTTGTTTGTTTTTTTATTCCTGTTGCTTTTTGCAGAATTAAGCATATACATATATTTGAATTTCTCCTCCTTCACAAAAGATGATATATACATATGATATATATAGTCTGTGTGTTTGTGTGTGTATATGGTCAGTGACAGTACTCAGCTCTGCCTCCACCTCAAATTATTATTATTATTTTTTTTTGAGGAGGATTAGCCCTAAGCTAACTACTGCTGGTCCTCCTCTTTTTGCTCTGGAAGACTAGCCCTGAGCTAACATCTGTGCCTGTCTTCCTCTACTTTATATGTGGGACGCCTACCACAGCATGGCTTTTGCCAAGTGGTGCTGTGTCCACACCTGGGATCCGAACCAGCAAACCCTGGGCCACCGAGAAGCAGAACGTGCACACTTAACCACTGCACCACCGGGCCAGCCCCCTTGAATTATTTTTTATATTGAGAAATAATTTACATATCGCAAAATTTGCCCTTTTAAATGTGCAATTTAGTGGTTTTTAGTATGTTCACAATGTTGTGTAACCATCGCTGCTGCTTAATTCCAGAATTTTTGTCACTTTAAAGGAAAGCCCATACTCATTAGCAGTTACTTCCCATGGCTCCTGGCAGCCACTAATCTTCTTTCTCTCTCTCTGGATTTGTCTGTTCTGGACATTTCATATGTGGACTCATAGTATGTGTGGTCTTTTATGTCTGTTGTCTTTGACTAAATGTAATCCTTTCAAGGTTCATGCATGTTGTAGCATGAATCCAATATTTCTACCTTTTTATGGGTGAATAATATTCCGTTGTATGGATAAAAACATGTTTTATTTATCTGTTCATTAGTTGATGGACATTTAGTATTGTTTCCATTTTTGGCTATTATGAATAATGCTGCTATAAATATTTTTGTGTAAGTTTTTGTGCAGATATGTGTTTTCATTTATCTTTGGTATATACTTGGGAGTGGTAATTGCTGAACTCTCTCTGTTTTTGAGAAACTTCCAAATTGTTTTTCAAAATGGCTGTGCCATTTTGCATTCTCATCCGCAGTGTATGAGAGTCCCAAGTTGTCCACATCTTCACTGACACTTGTTATTGCCTCTCTCTGGTACAGCCATCCTAGTGAGAATATAGTGCTATCTCGTTGTGGTTTTGATTTGCATTTCTCTAATGATTAATGATGTTGAGCATTTTTTCATGTGCTTATTGACCATTTGTATATCTTTGGAGAAATATTCATCTAAGTCTTACTCATTTCAAATTGGGTTATTTGGTTTTCTGTTGTTAAGAAAGAGGTAGGAATTCTTTTTATTCTGGATTTTAATCCATTAGCAGATATATGATTTGCAAATATTTTCTCCCATTCCGTGGGTTTTTTCACTTTCTTGATAGTATCCTTTGATGCACAAAAGTTTTTAATTTTGATGAAGCCAAGTTTACTTTTTTTCTTTTATTGCCTGTGCTTTTGTTGTTATACCCAAGAAATCATTGCCAAATCCAGTGTCTTGAAGATTTTTCCCTAGGTTTTGTTCTAAGAGTTTTATACATTTGGGTCTTTAGTTCATTTTGAGTTAGTTTTTATATATGGTGTGAGGTAAGGGTCCAACTTCACTCTTTTCCATATGAGGATATCCAGTTTTCTCAACATTGTTTGTTGAAAAGGTCGTTCTTTCCCCTTTGATGGAATCTTGGCACCTTTGTCAAAAATCATTTGAACCATATTTGTGAGAGTTTATTTCTGGGCTTTCTATTCTGTTCCATTGATGTATATGTCTGTCCGTCTTCCAGTACCACACTGTTTGATTCCTGTAGCTTTGCAGTAAGTTTTGAAATTGGGAATTGTGGGTCTTCCAACTTTCTTCTTTTTAAGGTTGTTTAGGTTATTTGATGTCCCTTGAGATTCCATATGAATATTAGGATGGGTTTTTTTTTAAATTTCTGCTAACGGTTCTAATGGGATTTTGATAGGGATTGCATTGAATCTGTAGTTCGCTCTGGGTACTATTGTCGTCTTAACAGTGTTTAAGTCTTCCAGTCCATGAGCATGAGATGTGTTTCCATTTATTTGTATTTACTTCATTTAGCAAATTTTTTGCTACCTCAGTGAAATTTATTCCTAAGAATTTTATTCTGTTTGATGTGGTTGTTCCCTTGACTTTTAAGAGTTTTGTGTGAAAATACATATACGCAAATATGTTGCAAATATATTTTTCTTGGTTTTCAGTTTTTCTTTTGAATATGGTAATGTTTTTTTTTTTTGCCTTGCAAAAGTTTATGTAGGCATTTTAATATTTTGTTTTCTTGTACCTTGACTTTTAGTTATGGTTAAAAAAACTTTCCCTTCACCTAAGTTATAAAGAAATTCACCCATGTGTTCTTCTAGTACTTGTATTGTTTCACTTAAAAAAGTTAAGTCCCTAATCCATTTGGATTTATTTATATGGAATGAGATATGGGTCAAATTTTATCACTTACCAAATAATAATCCTGTTGTCTCCAAGCCTTTTATTTATAAAAGACCATATTTTCCCTCCTAATGTGAGATGCCACCATTGTTGTATTAAATTTTTGTATGTACTTGGATCTGTTTCCTAAGTGTCTTTGTTCCACTGGTCTTTGTGTTTATTTTTAGACTATTCCAAATTAAGAGAAAGAAGTTTAGGATTTCGTATTAGGGCTGTTTTGAGTAGAAACTGTGTGTTACGCTTCTTATATGAAATGCATCATTTTTTCTCTCTAATTATTAGGGTTTGTTATTTTTATAAATGGAACTGTCATTCCATCCTCCGCTTCACTTTTGCTCTCGAATTGGTGGGACTTCTTTGTAGTAGTGAATGAGGGGGGCCTGTGGCACAGTGGGTTATTTGAAGTTCCAGGTTTTGCTAGGAGTCATTCAGCCCTGCCTTGGAGCCACATCTGATTCTTTATCCTTTTCATTCCTTTTTGCTTACACATTCTTTGCTTTGAAGAAGTGGGTAAACCACTATATTTGGGTTTATTTTATTCTAATTATATTAGATAAATAAATCTTGAATGTTTCAAAACTAATTGACACTGCCAAATTGTTTTATGTGAACACATGGTGGCCTCTGGAAAAATGATTTATCTATCTTTGAAAAATTAATTGTGGTATGTGGGGGAGTATGAGGGGTTATAGGACCCATTTATGTTACCTGGTGAAACTAGGTGACTGATTAACTTATTTACACTGTGTTAGTGTTAGGTAAGAAGTTTTTGTCAACAATATAGTAGGTCTGTAATTTTAGAAGTTAACTGACATATTATCAATATTCTTGTAGCAGAAATAAGAAGGATAAAAAGAGAGAAAAAGAAAGGGACCACATCAGTGAAAGAAGAGAGAGAGAACGGTCAACCTCTACAAGAAAGAGTTCTAATGACAGAGATGGGAAGGAAAAGCTGGAGAAGAACAGCACTTCACTTAAAGTAAGCAGCAGTCATTCAGTGCTTAAGCACTCAGTTAATGCTTGAGATCTGCTTTATTGTATTGAACTAGTTTCAGACTAAAAGCTCCTTTAGGGCAACAGTGTCTTGTACATTTTTGTTATTCTATAATATTTATTAAATTGATAATATTTTTAAAGTAAATTTTTGAAGGGATGAGGTAAGAGCTAATTAAAATTTAAACAATTGCATTCCTTATTTTAGAGAATCATAGAATGGCATACAATGATTTTTAGACTATCTATAGATAACAAATGTATTTGATTTTATACTAAGATTTCTACTTCAATGCCATTTTTTTCAGTATATTTGTTTCAGCAAATTTGACAAATGTTTGTCGTCATTGGTTTTGTAATATATACTGAAATTAGGTTTGTGGAAGTAGAATAATTAATAGAAAAGCAAATTCCACCACATAAGGATTTTTTTGGATAAATATTTAAAGTATTTGTGAATTATGTTAATTCCCTTATTATACTGGTAAGTATATTTGTATTTAGAAATCAATTATGAGTTCTGGAGCTTTTATCTTAGAGTTTTGTTTCCTCTCATACTCATAGAAGGTTGTCGTCATCCTCAATAACATTGAGAACATCTCTTGAGCACTTACCGTGTGCCAGACATTGGTCCCCACATGTTCTCATTTAATTCTCCCTTAAGCTGAGGTCAGAATTTGGACTGTTCTTGAACAGCTCTTGCTGTGAGGAATAGTGACTTCCTTTCCTATATCCCCTTATTTTTGCTTCTTTGATACCCAGATTACAGATCTGTCTTGGCACCTTTTTTAGTCTTTTAGCGGATCTGACCCACTTTTTCAAGTGAGTCAGCAACATTCACTTCAACATTCAACTAAGGAATACTTCCTTAGACTTTCTGTTCACCTATTTTAATTCAATTTCCACGGATTGTCCATGTTTTATAAGTATAAAGGACATATTGATAGATGTTTGCATATCCTATTTATATGAAAAGGTAGTGGCAGAAAATATCCAGTTTTATTAGTTCACAGAAGATAAAGTCACGTATTTTAGCCATAACCCAAGTTAATAGCAGGCAGCTCTTGAGAAAAATATTAAACGTATACCATAACATTTATTGTAGGAAAAGGAGCACAATAAAGAACCAGATTCAAGTGTGGGCAAAGAAGTAGATGACAAGGATGCACCAAGGACTGAGGAAAACAAAGTACAGCAAAATGGGAGTTGTCAGCCAAATGAAGAAAACCTCTCTACCAAAACAGAAGCAGTATAGGACTGACAAATGCACCTCTGAACACACGCTGGAATAAAATCCAAAGCTTTTAATTCTCTCAACAAGATGTTAAACAGTGAAGAAATCCAGATGAGCATAAAAATATGAACTGACAGCTTTTCTAGTTGTTAGGTGACTTTGTGGCCATCTTGTTACTGAGTAAGAAAATAAAGCATGGACGTGATGAAAATAACAGATGTTACCCAAACCCCTCACATTCTAGAATCTGTGCATTTCCATGGTGGCTGACACACTTGTTGTGTGGTTTGTTAGTGTTTGCCGAGAACCATTACAAAGAAATGGGACAGCAAAGATTCAAATTTGGATTATCCATAAAGACTGAAGATAAGCATTGGAGGCTCTCTTTAAAAAAATGCTAGTTACTGAATTTTGTATTGTTTTACCTTTTTTTCCCTAAATTTCAATATATACAGATTGATGGATGATGTGCTTGAAATCGGTGCAAATATATACACACTCTTGTAAGTGCAGAGTATGTAAGAAGTTTTAACATTTACTTCACAGGATTTGTAGTGATTGTGTTAAATTCTCACTATTGTGTTTTCTTTTGCTCACTGTTTAGGACAGCAGTTTTTCTTTAAAATAGTTTTACAGATTAAAATTGCTTAAATAAGTGGATTAAAAAAACTGACAATGCATGCTACTGTTCTCTTTTAAAAGGAAGAGCAACTGTGTTGAATACTAATAATAATGTATTAGTATTCAGTGTTTAGAATCATTGGGTCTCCCCACAAAGTGAGCATTTCTTTTGAACTTGACATTTCCAAGCTTATTATGAATAATATTGCAGTGTGTATTGTCAGCTGTAGGTGGCAAAAGTGCCACTATAAAAAGAAAACTGGGTTTTCAAAATGGGCTATGGGAGCACAAGCTGAAGCTTTAGTGCCTTCTACAATGTGGTATACTGTTTTCTAGAATTTTATATGTGGTAGTTACTCTCAATTCATATGGAATTTAGATGGATATTCCATTCACTCCCATAGAGAAGTGTGCAAGTGGTATGTCAGAAGAGCTTCTTACTTAGTTCACCCAATATGAGAGGGAAGTCCTATTTTCAAGAGTGATTTTAGAGCTTAAAACAACAATGCAGTTTTGGGACCATCAGTTTTATACTGTGATAATTGAAAATGAAGCATGTTCTTATTTTACTTAAATCAAAGCAGACTCTTTAGTTGTCTACATCGGATGGCCTTAATTATTACCTCTCAATCATCTTCTCATAAATGATGTGCAGAAATTATACTTAAAGGAGAATACATGAGGTGGTTTTATGTTTAAGGGTATGTTTACTTGAGTTTAAAATACAGGTCATTCGTCATTCTTAGGCTCAATTTTTGCAGAAAGTATGCAAGTAGTAAAATGACAACATTGCTGGTATTTTCCCCCAAAACCATAACTCATAGTGTCAGAACTCTTTCATTGTTGTTATATTTCCAAAAAGTTATACCTTTTAATTAGCATGTTATTAAAAAAAATCAAGTATAATTATTTTAATGCAATCTAATACAATCAAATTACTCAGTTGCCTTACCTCATGGGAAGAGTTACTTATAGATTTAAAAAGCTGAGTAGCACATCAGTTACTTGGTTTCAACTTGAGTTTTCTTTTAATATTAATACTATTGAAACTTAAGTATTTGGTGGAGAATGGAAAGAATTGCCCTTATTGCAAGTAATGAAACCTGGTTTGATTATGAAGCTGCTTGATTACTCTTCATGTGTTCAGAATTACTGTGTTTTTTTTTTTTCCTTTTTGTCACTGTACATTAAAAGTTTTGAAAATGCTTTACTATGTAAAGTATAGATGGTCATTTTAATCATTCAACCACATACGGTTGGCTGGTAAACAGCTTATTCTGATACAAGAATGCTTGGGTGCATATGGAAAGATTGAAGGAGTGTGTGTCTTGCATCAACAGCTGTCTTATTTATGATATGTAAGTAGAATAGAGCAAATGTTTGAATCTTTGTTATTTTTAGTACTGTTTCTCTAATAAAGCTAAGTATTTTAGAGGAAAGTATTTGTTTATGCATTTCAAAACAGCATCTTAGTTTTATCTTGTTCTTGTTTTAGTTGGCATAGAAATTCTTTTGACATGGAGAATGCATGTTTGTGTGGTGTCTATAAAACAATCATTTAGAGTTTGAGTGTTTCCTTGTACTCTGGACTCTATTAAATGTTTTTTATGTTGGTAGTTAACACATTTAATTTGATTCCTACTGCTAATTATTTTTCTTGCTGATGATATTTATTCAGCTTTCAAATAATCATACTAATCTTCAAAGACATTGACTTGTAAAAAAGTTGGGCATGAGTAGGACTACAAGAGATCTGGACAAAGTGAAATCATTTTCCTAAACGGGCTTATGGGAGCCACGCTTTCTAGGATCGAGCGAGAATGGGGGAGCTGTGTGTGTGGGAGAGACAGGTTTCCTCTCCGTTCGCTTTTAAGAGCTGATATGTTTCTCTTTGTCTATTATTTTCTTTGAAGGCATTCTGCTTTTTCTTTAAGACTGTTCTTTTTTATCCCACATAGATGATGTCAGTAAAACTTGAGGTAAGGCCAAGAAGATAGCCATTTTACACTTGATACCTTCTGTAATTATCTTTTTTAGCTTGTATATTACAGAGTACACTCTGTTTCCTTAAATTGTAGTTGCTACTGATCATTCTAGACAAATTCTGTGGGTCCTCTTGTTCTTGCTTTTCAGCACTGCACACTGAACTGGTAGTATAAGATGGTCTTTCATAGCCTAGCCAGTTTCGTGTGAGAAAACAGCTTGTTAACTTCTGCAGCTATCTCTAATTATTTTCCATTTAATTAACTTATAATTGCAAACACTAGTCAGCTTGTGATTTTATGTTTAGAATTCTTTTTTTCAAGACGTTTAATATGTACTGTGTTGATCTGTTGATCTTCAGAAAGTGTCAGAGGCTTAAATTTTGATACACGAAATTAAAAATAAAAACTGGCATTTAGAATTGCTTTTTTTGGTCAAGAAAAGAATTTCTTTTGTGATATTAGTCATTTTTAGGACCCTCATTCATTCGTGTATATGTTGCTATCTTTATCTTAAAACAAAACAAAAAAAACCTTAATCCAAACCTCTCAACTGAATATATTATTCAAACTTAAGGATTGTAATGTATAGTAATAGGCTTTTAAAAGTTTGAAAAAATCTAATAGAAATAGTATGATTTGATTTAAATTTTTCTTTAGTAGTTGAATTAGCAATTAAATCCCTTCGGAGGGATGGATTGAATAACTTTACTTTCCAGTGAGTCATTTCTTAATATTTTCACTAAAAAATAGTAGCTGATTTTAACTGGTCGGGGTATGGGGGGGGAGTGGGGAGCAGGTTATGAAGTAGAGCCATTTCCACAAATTAATTATGTTTCTTACGTGTTTAATATTCTTTTATTTTCACTACCTATATGCTTAATATTTTCTCATGTTTGTTTACGAATATATTCATTTAAAATTTGTTTTCAGATTTCCACAGTTAGTGCTCTTAGAAAGATGAATTATGTTTCTGGAAGCAGGAGTCAAGTATAATGTAATAAAATAATCTTTTAGGGGCTGGCCCCGTGGCCGAGTGGTTAAGTTCATGCGCTCCGCTGCAGGCGGCCCACTGTTTCGTTGGTTCGAATCCTGGGTGCGGACATGGCACTGCTCATCAAACCACGCTGAGGCAGCGTCCCACATGCCACAACTAGAAGGACCCACAACGAAGAATATACAACTATGTACTGGGGGGCTTTGGGGAGAAAACGTATAAAATAAAATATTTAAAAAAAAATAATCTTTTAAAATAAAATTGACTTCCCTACTTACTTTTGGGTTTGTAGGTGAAATTGTTTTTCTTTTTTTGGTGAGGAAGATTCTCCCTGAGCTAACATCTGTTGCCAGTCTTCCTCCTCTGTTTCTCTTTTGCTTGAGGAAGATCAGCCCTGAGCTAACATCTGTGCCAATCTTCCTCCACTTTGTATGGGTGGTGCTGGCACAGCACGGCTGATGAGTGGAGTAGGCCTGCACCCGGGATCCACACGCCGGAACCCAGGCATCTGAAGCAGAGCACACGGAACTTTAACCTCTGTCATGGGGCCGGCCCCTGGAATTGTTCTTAAATACACTTTTATTGGTGATTCTGCCTAAAGATTGATACATTATTTTAAAAGTAAAAGCTATTACTGATTTTTGGTCCATATTCAGTTAGGTTGGATTTAGTAACTAAGAAGTACATATTTTTCCATTCTACTTTAAGGTACTTTTATAGTTTATAGCAATTAATTTATTACAATTAGGCATTTATATCTAATATGACATTTCTTAATATATTGTTTTTAAAAATAAGTTTTTAGTCCGTTGCCTGATTTTTTAATTTACGTTTTATCTAGCTAAGATTTTAACTTTGGAAATTGCCAACTTTTTGGAAACTTCACATATTTTGCCACTAGCGTTTTATTTTCCCAGGATTGGAATGGAATTGTAGTTCCTTCCATTCTTGATTGACTTTTATTTGCTAGATAGATAATTTCTTAAGTATTAATGTAAGTTCAAATTCATGAAAATCATACTGAAAGAATTAGAGTTGAAGAGATTGAGTGTTATCAGTTTCTGGAAGGCAACAAACTGTTGGGAAGCAATCTACAGAATTCTCTGATTTCCACCGAAGTTTGCATTTGAGTGTACTGTGTACTTGTGTAGAGGTAGTTCAGTTGCATAGTTAAATGTCACTCTCCTTCATCTTAACTAGGTTAATACAATAGTCCTCTTCTTTACATAATACTATGATTATCAAGGAAAGAGTTTAAAATGTAAACATAAAGATGCTGCATAGGTGGTGTATATTTATGTGAGTAGGGCTACTTCTAAATGGTACTAGAAAAGGTTTATCAAATGTTGCTATTGTGTTATATTTTTAATAAAATGAAACTCTTAAAATCTTGCCACTGTTGAGTAGTAATTTCACCTATTTCTGAGACATTTATTTGCATATTTACAGCTTATTTAACTGAAAGGTGGTAATGGGCTCTTTTGGGATTTCAGTTACTTCCAAAACAGGTTTTTGGACATTGGGCAGTCTTCACGTTGTGTGGCAGTAGCTTTAGTCAAGGCTTTGCATCTTTAACATTTTGTTGTGTTCTAGTAAGTGATAGCTGCTTTTTGAATGTCTTCTTTACAGAATCAGCTTCTTGGCTAGGGTATTTGTACAGTGAAAATTGTCACTGCTTGTCTTTTAACAGCAAGTGAAATGCCTTCTTTCATTTTATCAGTATAGCTCTCCATTTGGTGAATGAGCTGTGTGTTCCGGGTGGTCATTTAAGTGAGAAAGCCTGTTAGTCAAAAGTGCCTCTTCAAAAAAATAAATTAGCTATCAGTTATGTAAATGGAGAATCTTCTGTGACCTGATGACTTAGTTGGTCCAGAGATGGCAAGGCTATATGTGTTGGTTTATTTATGTAGGCCAGCTATTTTAGCTGTGTTCTGTGGTTAAAGGCCATGAGCCATTTTGGTTTCAAGATATGTTATGGGATAGAGTGTGGGTGAGAGAGGAGAGGCCTTTTAAAGTGTCCCCGTTACAAGTAATGAGTTTGGGCCTCCAGGTGTGACTTTCTCCACAGGGATCCTGAAGACAAATGCCAGGTTGGAGTAACAGCTGCATTTGGCAGCAGACCTCCAGACAAAATGTCTCTCATTTTTATTGTGAATGATTACAAAATAGTAATTACTTGAGTATAATTCTAGTGCATTTAATTTTTATAATAATTTTCTTACTTTGGGAAAAAGATCCAAAGATTCACTGAAGAGTAGTTAAGTCTCTTAAAAAGTATGCTACTCGATGTAGTAATAGCCACAGTATGATAATCAGAGGTAGTAAATGCAATCAATTATATATATATAGGCATGCCCTGTGAGCCTTTTCAACTACCTTCTGATAAGCACCTGACACAAAGCTCTTATTGAATATTAGCTATTGTAATACTGGTATGTTACTAGCACAATAAATTTATCCTGTTCTGAACAAAACATTGAATTTCAATTGCAAGTCTATTCCTCCGCTGTTTATTATTTTTCGCCAGAACTACCATCTTTCTAGTTGTGCATTGCCACTATTAATTTCTGTTTTGACCCTACCCTCAATCCCATGTTCTAAGTCCTCATTCTGCATTTCCTCTGCAGTGTTTTAAATGTGGCTTTGTATCAGTGATGTTTGCTAGTGACGTGAAACAGCATCTGTTCTAGTAGAAAGGTAATTATGGTATTAGAATGAAGTCCCTCTTCCTTTTTATCTATTTCTGTAGCCTACTAATTTGTCTTCTAACCTCAGTCTTTTTTCCAAATGCATTTCAACATATATTGCCACTTGATTAAGTTCCTTTAAGTTGCTCTGTAGTTTTGTAATGTCTTTATGCTTTTGGTATAAGGGTCATGCTGGACTAGTAGGATAATTTGAAACGTGATCCCTCCTGTTCAATTTTCTCAAGGAATTTGTGTCAAATTGGCATTATTTTTTCTGTACATGTTAGGTAGAATTCCCCAATGCAGCCAACTTGAACATGGAATTTTCTTTTTACAGTGTAAATTCAATATTAAAAGTAGATTTAGGGTTATTCTTATTATTTATCCTTAAGTGAGCTTTGGTGTTGTGTCTTCAAAGAAATTTGTCCATTTTATCTAAGTTGTTGAATTTATCAGCATAAGTTCATGACAGTCCCTTATGTTTTAGTGTATGTGACATCTATAGGGATATCCTCTCTTATTCCTAATATTGTTAACTTATGTCTCTTTGTATCCTGATCAGTCTAACTAGAGGTTTGTCCATTTTATTGATTTTTTCTCAATTAGATTCTACTTTCATCAGATTTTCTCTGTTTTTCTGCTTTTTATTTCACTGATTCCTGCTCTTTATTCTTTATTTTGCTTATTTTGGGTTTTGTTTGCTCTTTCTTTTCTAGTTTCAAGTGAGAGCTGGCATCATTGACTTGAAACCTTCTTTTCTAATATAGGTATTT